TAGTTAAATATAAAAGAATTAAAATTGAGATTAAAAATCCAGTAGCACAGTCACATTGGTCACTTTTCAAGTGTTCAATTACTGCCTGTGGCCAGCAGCTATTGCACAGTAGCTGCTAGACAGTGCAGATGCGTTTTGCCCCAGTCAACTGAGATTATAATACTTTATTCCTTACAGGAAAAGCTCCTCCTCCTCCAATGGTGAACCATATCTCTTGACTTGTCAAGGTTCCTCCTACTCAGGGGTAAAGCAACAGGGAGGGCAAGAAGAAAGAACTTCCAATAAGACCCCCGCCCCCTCGGAGGTCTGAGGGTGTAGCCAAGAGAATCCTTTCATAAAATAAAGCCTTCTTTAATATTCTGAATAACAGCTTTTTACCTATATTGTTCAATATGGTAGCCACTAGCCACACGTTGCTATTTATAATTTAAAATGTAATTAATTAAAAGAAACACACAATTAAAAATTCAGTTCCTCAAGCACACTAACCACATTCCAAAAGCTTAACAGCCTTTGGCTAGTGGTTCTTGCCCTGAACTGCAGCAGAAATAGAACACTTCCATCATTATAGAAAGTCTTATTGAACAGCACTGCTTTATACTATGGGTCTCCTCATTTTTTTTTTTCTTTTTTTACATATCCTCTTAATGAAGGATACAGAATATTTCGCTCTACTTTCCAGTAGATCTCCCAAAATGCCAGGAAATAAACTCAGGTGCCTATTCATGCACAGTTTTAAGGTGTGCTTACTAGAGTCCTCACCTCCAAAACCAAAAGCCTAAATATATGTTTGTATGGCTGGGAGTCTATTCTTTCCGTATATATATCAAATCTTCATCAGATTCAAAAGCAGACAAGAAAACTGGAACACACAAGTTTTCTGGTGGCAATGGCTTGGGAACAAAAGAAATGGAAGGAGATAAATCTGACTACATCTTTCGTATGAACACTTTTGAGTGGCAGACCACATTCTGAAAAATCTTTCAACGAAAATGCAGAAAGTCTGCTGTGCTAACATCAGAAAAGTCCTCAGAGACAGGCAGTCTTAAAAGGTTCACACACGGACAACAGCATTTGTGGGCTCCAGGTTATCTTTGCCCTATTTGTTCTCACAGGACAGATAATGACAAGTCTTGACAGTTACAGCGAAAGATCAAATATACCACACTGTGATTTGTCTGCTACTGTACAATATTTGTTCCAAAGATTACGATGAATTACTGAATACAGATCAAGACAAGGTCCCTGAAAAGTTAATCATCTTGCTTGCTAGGCAGAAGACTCCCCACCACTTACAAGTCTATCTGATAAACAGCCAGCACTGACCCAGCAAAGACAAGCTCTTTAGGTCACATGATCACCATGCATTTCATCTTCAGGTAGAGCCAGAGTAAAGCAGCTGCTTGAGAGACAAAAGCCAACTCTCAAGAGCCAAATTTTTGGAGAACACCCAAAAATATGGGACTTGAGAATGAGTTTTGCAGGGCATCGGATTAACTGACTTAAGTGTGAATCCGGCATCTGGCTCCGAATTCCAAGCAGCTCTCTCAACTACTACAGTATGGGCTGTGCTGAAACCTCTTCCTCCTTTGAAGTAAGTCATCACACTTGTGGTCTGCTTCTGTCATTCGATACCAAGTACTGCACTGCATACCATCCCCTGTGTTGTCTGGTACAGCTTTTTAACTCTCAGGTGTGGGTATACACATTTCAACTACACTGTAAGCTCTTGGACTCTGTATTACAGTTCTTCTCTCCACCAAGCAGAGAGTAAACACTCAAGCATTTAGAAAATGGAGATGACGACAAGGCTTATAGAAAAGGACAGAAAACCACCCATTTGTTTATCTGACTCCAAAATTAGGCTGGAATTGTTAGCAGATTCATTTTCTCCTAGCAAAAAAACAGAAAGCAACAAAACTTCAGAACCAAACGATACCAAACATGTGTAGCAAGCCAGTCTCAAACACACCCATATTTTATCCAAATAACTGAACAAATACCAGTAACAGGACATGTCAGACTTTGCAGCAATTAAAAAAAAAAGTTTATATCTGACTTTAAGTTAAGATCCTGTGCACTCATAAACACATATATTCGCCTGGATAGTATTTAAAAATAGTACTTTGCTAGCAAAATCTAAGTCACCATATGACAAGGTTGTTACATCAACATATTGAAACTATGATTCAGGGCAAGTTTCAGGGAAAAACTGAAGTTACTATTTATCCTCCTTCCTTTCAAACTTAGAAGAAATTATTTACTGGGTCTTCATAGTTGAATCTTGATAGCTATTTAAATAAATCCATTGGACCAGAAATGTAACTGATGCACATGGTGCTCCTCCCCGGGAGCCTCTGACATGAGTTCACACTTAACTGAGCTGCATTATTCTGGACAAGATATACCTCCACGTCCATATCTCACTGCACTACTTTGTTTCTATTTTGCAAATACCAAAGCAAAAAAGATTGTTGAATTTCTTTTTGTGGTTCTCATTAACAGAATCAAGTGAAAGAGATTTCTGAATTACTTGTTCTAAATTGGCATTTCTGAAACTGGGATTGAAAGATTTGTTTCAGGGGTTTGCGATGATTCTCTGAGAATTTCCTAAGCTTGCCTTTTGATTTTCATAATCATAATCTGGAACATAATCATAAACATCCACCTCATAACTGTGTAAGCCTATGATTTCAGTGACCACGTGTGTATCTATGTTTAAGATTACATTCATCTTAAGTCTCCAAGAGGGACAGAGTTTAGTTTTTAAGGAAGTATTTCTCAAATTGGGTTTCAAAGTCTATGTTTTGATGTTAAAATCTGAATACTGCTCTAGATTTTTATACTTTCCAACATTATCCTACAAGGCTTTGTTTATTTGGTGAATTTAATATGTATCCAGTGCCTACTTATGTCCTAGGCACTGGAAATACTGTTGGGAATAAGAGATCAGAACTTGTCTTTATGGAGCTTATAATTCCGATAGGAAAGACCAATGCTGTTAAAGAAGTCTGGTTCCTTGGTTGAAATCACACTTAAGGAATTGTTTACTTTAAAAAGAAAACGAAAAACAGTGATCTGGTCGCCTCACCAACTGCTACTGTGGATTAGAGAATCCATCATCAACATCCATATAGTCTCAAAATATTCTAAGAGCTTGAGGTCAATCTGATCTTATCTGCTTGGAGACAGAGAAAACGATCCTCTTTTGAAAATTCTTCAGAGAAGCCCAGTCTCCTCTCTTTGCTTTAGGTTATGCTTCTCATAACTGGACAAAGATGCAACCCAACTAGAGATCTCCTGGCTTTTTGAGAAACAATTTTATAATCAGTGAGATTCATAAGCAGCTTTGGATAACACCCTTTGTCCTTCTGATTGGGAAATTTCTATGGACAAAAAAAAAAAAAAATTAATGAAGCTAAAACAATTACAAACGCCTAAAGGGCACTTCTAAACTCAAAAAAGTTCATGGATAGAGGCTAAATAACACAATGCAAAAACTCCCCTGAACTTAACCTTAACAACCTTGAATAGAAAAAGGAATGAGATTCAGAGAACAGTGGCTACTATTAGCTACTATTTATCCTATCTATAAATTATTCCTTTCATGACATCCTTGTTTAAAATGGAGAGGGAGGGGGACCCAAAGATAACATGTTATCAGGTAAACCAATCTAATTTTCTAATTGAGAAATGGGTGTCAGATTCCCTAAAAATAGTTAATAGGTTTGAAATATCTTGGTTTCTGGACCAGTTTCTAAGCCACAATGTCCTCAAATGAACACTTGAGACAAGATCTCCAGAATTTTGGAGCCATCCCCTTCTCCAGTGTGAGTATGACAGTTCCTACTGGGTTTTTTACCCCGCCATGGAGTTCCAAAAAAGTGTCAGCCCTGCCAGAAATGAAGCACACTGATCCTGTAACTCTGAACAAGTAGTAGATGCGTGAACTAGGGAACTTCTACCAGAATCTTTTAGCAGACACTGCGAGGAGGGCACCAACCAACTTACCTAAAAAACAACTCCGTATCTGCCAATACCACAAACCTGAACTCCAAGATTAAAAGTCAGCAGGAACAGAAAACAGTAACCCGACTGGAGGTAACATTTCCAGCCCAAATTAAGTCTCTGTACTGAAACCTTCAGGTACACAAGGATGGCCAGACGCACCGTGAGAGCTTCACTTGTCACAACATCCGGCACAACAGCTAAGGCAGGGAAACACAGGCTTTCAAGAAGGAGCTTCGTCAGAAACACTGCAGGGCCTCAAGCCAATGTAACTCTGGAGGCAACACACTCAAATTTCGGACCAAGTATCAGCCAGGCTAACTTTAACTGTGCCCTAACTCCACAAAAGCAATACAGTATCTGGCTACAACTGAGCCTTACGAATTCTCCAAAGCATCTCAAGACTTGATCGCCCTTCGAGTTAGAAGCAAGCTCAAGGCAGAAGCAAGACAACTGACACAAAGGCCATCGTCTGAAGGCGCCTTTCGTACGGCTATGCCCCTGGCCACTCACTTGAAAATTCCTAAACTGGGGGGTAGCGGGGGGAGCTCAGCATCTCCCCCCCCTCTCCCGCGTCTATCCCTGCTCCATCCCGCCCCGGCCGGTAAGCCTCTGCCTGGGAGCCCCCCGGCCTGGAACAAAAGCAAGGAGCCCGGGCGGTGGGGGCGAGAGGCGCCGGCTGCACCGGACCGCCGCCGGGAGCACAATGCGAAACTACCAACTTCAGAGCGCAAGAACATCCTCGATTGGCAAGAAAGAGGGGCGGCGGCAGGCACGCCCAACTTCAAACTCAGAAAACCTACGGGCTGGCGGCCATCTGGAAAAAAAGCCCCCCTTTCCCAGGGAGAGAAGAAAAAAGGCGGAGGAGATGCGAATGGCCCACCGGGCCCCGGAGGGGAGCCCTGCGCTCAGACCGGCCCCCGCCCCCGAGGCCCGCTTCCCCGCCTTCTCTCTGCCTCTGGTTTGCTGCCCCAGGCCGGGCGGCCGGTTACCTTGATGCGCTCCCGGCACTGGGACGGGGTCCGCTCGTAGCCCAGCTCGGCCAGGGCCCGGGACACGCGCTCGTACATGGCCGGCCCGGGGGCCTTGCTGCCGAACACCGTGCCGGCTCCCTCCAGCTGCTGGTACCGTGCCTCCACCAGCCGCTCGTTGCCCCACACTGCGATGAGCGCGTTCGTCTCTGCCGGCGTCCACGACATGCCCCGGCAGGCGGCGGCGGCGGCTGCCGCAGCCCCGCCACCACCGCCTCCACCAGGGGAGAAGGAGACCGAGGACGAGGCGGCGCTGCGGCCCCCCAGCCCCAGCCCGAGACCCCCGGACGCCGCTGCCCCCGAGCCCGCCGCACTGCCCGGCCCGAGCGGGGAGGCACCCCGAGGCGTGGAAGGGTCGGACAGCGATGGGTTTCCGTCGCTCAGGCCACCAGGAGAAGCCGGGGAGAGCACCTCCATCTTCGGGATTTTTAGCGGCGAGTTGGCGGGCAGCTCCGAGCCACAGGGCGCAGCCATCTTCCAAGCGGCCGCCGCTGCACCGCCCGGAAGTGACGCGCCCTCACATCCGGCCGCCCCGGACTCCGGGGCTGTCCTCGGGCCTGGCTTGCTGGCGGGCGGGCGGCTGCGGGCCCCGGCGGCCGCGTGGAGGCCGCCCGCCGTCCCCGGCCTTTCTCCGCGCACCCGGCCGCGGCGCGCGCTCCTCTCCCGGGGCGAGGGGCGGGAATGAGGCTCGCCGGATCCCCGAGCGGAGGAGAAGGGTGGGGGCATGAGGGCGCCGGTGTGAGGAACAGATTGAAACCTTCCCACTTCCTCTCCAATCTCAGCCCCCGGGAGGAGGGGTGAGGCCCGCGAGGGGGCCCGGAGTTAAGGAGGACTTGACCATTTCGCTCTCTCGCTCTCCTCCCTCGGCTCTGCCGCTCCCCTCTTCGGAACTGGCCTCGGGGTGCAAGGGCTGACGCCCCGGGCGGAGGCTGGGGAGCCCCGCGCCGGGCTCAGCCAGGAAGGCGCCGAGGCCGCTGGGAGAGCATTCCTGGGGAAGACTTTTAAAAAGCATCTGGGAACCAGGCTTGGTTTGTGCTCTGTAGCTTTTCGAGACTCCCAAGCGCAGTATTTGAAGAGCAACTCCTATTCCATTTCTGATCTATTTTCCAGTTAGTCTGGATGGGGGTGACGGTTTGTAGAACAGTTAGACGTCTTTATTGCGCTTGCACGATCTGTCTACAGCTTGAGTATGAACTCCCAGCCTCAGAAGAAAAGTTACTTTCCCATACCGTTCTCCATCTCCCTAATTGGGAAGTTACATCGTTTTTCCTACAGTTTTTCATACTCTCCAGTGTAAGAAGACGAAAAAAAGACTGTCAGTTATGATGGCTCTTGTGACCTCCAGTAATTAGTGGTAATCGTTCCATAAAGTGCTGCAGTTTAATGAACGTTAAACACCCCGAGTCCAATACATCGCTGTTAGCTATTTCAGTATTCTTCAAAGCCAAACATCTAATCTTAGATGCTAAACTTGAAGGCCCCAGCTGTTTGTTGTTGTTGTTGTTGTTTTTCAAATATAAATAAGCTATGCAATGGTTTTTTTTTTTTTCTTTTAATGGCAAATGTATATTAGGTTTTAAAAAAAAAAAGCGAGGTCAACTGCATTTTAAACTTAAAATCAGGGCTTCCCTTTGTGGCTCAGTGGTAAAGAATCCACCTGCCAATGCAGGAGCCGTGGGTTCAATTCCTGATGGAAGATCTCACATGCTGTGGAGCAGCTAGGCCAACCTGCCACTGATACTGAAGCCAGGGCCTCTAGATCCTGTGTGCCTCAAGAGACACCACCGGGATGAGAAGCCCACACACGGCCAACGACCTCCTTGGGCTCCTGGCAACTAGAGAAAAGTAGTACAGCAAGGAAGACCTGAGCACAGCCAAAAATAAGCTCAGAATCACCCCAGAGAATGACAGGGTTGTCATTGGAAAGCCAAAGGAATAAGCAACAGGGACAAAGTAGAGGAGATAATTGTCTCTGTATGCCATTTTAAAATGTCGTACTTTAAAAGATAGGAATATGAAGAAACACAGATTCCAACATTTATGCTATCTCTTCCTTTTTTTCTAAGAAAAAGTTAGAGTCTAGTAGATGTATAACTGATTCCTTTTGCTCTACACCTGCCACTAACACAACACTGTAAATCAGCTCACCTCCAATAAAAATTCAAAACTGGGGTGGATGGGAGGGAGGCTCAAGAGGGAGGGGAAGTATGTATACTCCTGGCTGACTCCTGTTGTTATAGGACAGAAACCAACAGTGTTGTAAAGCAATTATCCTCCAATTAAAAAATTAAAAGCAATAAATTTTTCACATCTTTCAAAAAAAAAAAATATATAGTCTAGCACCACAGTTAAGAGTATGAATTCTAGACTCAGAAAGCCTGGCTTCAAATTCCAGTTCTGTAACCTCAGCCAACTTATTTACCCAAACTTTTGGTGTCATGGTATCTCCAGCTGTAAAGTGAGGATGACCTCACAGCATTGTCATGAGAGTAAATGCATTAATACAGATAAAACTCTTCCAGCGGTTCCTGGTTCTCACAAGCATGTGTGAGCACTGGCTGTCACATCACTTTGCTTGTACTCTAGTTAATCTAATCTTCCCCCTTCACTTTCTACTTCTAGCTTTCAGTATTCTCATTTCCAACTCCCTCATGGGCTCTAGTGGAATCTTAGACACCTATGAAAGTAAAACTCACTCTCATTTAGCCCAACAGTAATTTTTTTTAATGTCAAGGTGTATAGTGTGTATGAAAGAGAAAGAGTGAGTGAAAGTCACTCAGTCATGCCTGACTCTTTGCGACCCCATGGACTATACAGTCCATGGAATTTTCCAGGCCAGGATTCTGCAGTGGGTAGCTGTTCCCTTCTCCAGGGGATCTTCCCAACCTAGGGATCAAACCCAGGTCTCCCTCATTGCAGGCGGATTCTATACCAGCTAAGCCACCAGGGAAGCCCTGATGAAAGAGAGTGATGTGCCTAAAATCATACATGAAATCAGAAACTCCACAGAGTTTTAAAATCATTGCTTCTCCCACTCTTATTTTTCCACAAGCCTGAAAAAAAAAAGCTCCCTCCTTCTATTGTTAATTCTGGGTGATCCTCAAATCACTCTGACTCATGCAGGAAGCCTTCCTAGATAAAGTGGGTTGACTGAGAAGTCTCCCTTCCCACTAACTTCTGTTTTAGACATTATTTCTATATTTCCCCCCCACCCTTTATTCCAACACCCATCAGTCTATCCAATGAGAAAAGCTTGTATCAAAAATAAAACTTCCAGTAACATCTTGAAGGTAAAATGAAGCCAATAATGTAAATGCTATTAATACATATTCCATTCTATAGTGTAGAAGCACTGCCATATGATCACCAGGATCCTGTGACTGTGGTGTTGGTCGGCTTCTAGGAGTTGTGTGCTATACTTGTTCAAGACTTCATGGTTCAATCAGGACTTGTGGAATGGCTGCTGCCTTTGAAGTAATTTGCTAACACCTTTTATTGTGGATCTAAATGGTGGTCATAAGTAGATAAAAACTTATTTGAGAGATAATGCATGAAATGCCTCAAAAATAAAATAATGTGCAAAAGAGTACAGGACAATACAAAACTCCTGCCTGTAAGTGATCCACTAATCTCCTTTAACTGTATAACCCCTCATCCATTTCCTCAACTGTTTGTTTTCCCAGCTTTTTAAAAAATACTTAACTATATTTATTTTTAATTATTTGGCCGTGCTGGGTGTTAGTTGCAGCATGTGAACTCTCTCGGATGTGGCATGTGGGATCTAGTTCCCTGACTAGGGGTGGAACCCTGGCCAGCCGCTACCTTTGGAGCTCGGAGTCTTAGCCACTGGACCACTGGGGAAGTTCCTTCCCAGCTTTTCTATGAAGTTTTCCCTAATGTGTCAGACAGAAGTCCTCCATCTGATACCCATTCACACAAGTTAGCTCTTCACATTAACGTTTTCTGTTTCAGAAGCTTAGTTAATTCTGTTGCGTACTCTCACTGTGTTTTATGACTCAGTGTGTTTGTTGCTGTATTTTTTGCCCTTCATATTCCATATCAAGTCCTGTTACCTCTAATTCTAAACTATTTCCTATATCTGACTACTTCTCAACCCTGGTCCAAGCCTCTATCTTGTCTTTACTGGACAACTGGACTTCCTGCTTACATACTTGCATGCTTACACAGTAGCCAGAGTGAACTTGGTATTTTAAAACTTTTTTCTTGTGAAATATAATGTATAGAGAAGTACATAAAGCATGCATATACAACTACTAAATGAATTTTTATAAAACTGATACTATATGACCACATCCAAGACAGTAAATAGAATATAGCCAGCACTCTAGAAGCTCTACCCTACAACCCCTTCCCAATGTTAAACTCTATCTTCCTCATAAAAATAACCACTATGCAGGCTTGCCCTTCTTTACAGTTTTATCGAATGATTGAAAAAAGTGAAAGCGTTAGTCGCTCAGTCGTGTCTGACTCTTTGCGTCCCATGGACTTAGCCCACCAGGCTCCTCTGTCCATGGTTATGCATCGCTAAAAGTTTTCCCCAGTTTTGAATTTTTTGGAAATGAAATCACATGTATTCTGTGTCTGGCTTCTTTCATTCAATATTATGTTTTCAATTAAGATTCATCTAGTCTGTATGAGGCTGCAGTTTATTCATTTTTGTTGCTGTAAAATACTCTGTTTTATGAATATATCACATTTTATTTATCCATCCTACTGCTGAATCTTTGGGTTGTCTCTAAATTAGGATATTATGAATAATGCCGCTACAAACATTCTTGTACATGTCTCCCAGTGCATATGCGCAAGTATTTCAGCAGACTATATACCTCCCCCTCCCTTCTTTCCTTCTTTCTTTCCATGTGGATACATAATTACTCCAACTCCATTTACTGAAAAGACCATTCTTTCCTTCTTTTATAATGCTATCTTTGACATAAATCAAACGTCCATATGTGCATGAGTCTACTTATGGGTTCTTCTATTACGCTGGTCTGTTTATTTTTCTATCTGTGTTCCTCATGGTAATATCACACTGCCTTAATAGCAGATGACACAGGCTTTATGATAAGTCTTATATCAAGGACAGAAAATCCCTCTTCCA